CGCTGTGTATGTTTTGGTGTACTACCCACAGTCAGTCCCTGAAACCCTTGATATACAGTGGCTGGTGCATACAGCAAACTTAACACAGGCGACTTCAAACTTTGGCTGGTATCCAGCATTCAGAGGCAGCACTGCCTATACAGGTCCGGAAAGATCCTCAGCACTACAGGGTCAGAGCAGCAAGGCTACGAGTCTGACCACAAGCTCAGAGCAGCAAGGCTACAAGTCTGAGCACAAGCTCAGAGCAGCAAGGCTACAAGTCTGAGCACAGACCTGAAGAAACAAGACAAAACAGTTTCGCGGGAAGCCCTCACAGCCGTTCAATCGTCGCCGTCGGATGCTGCAGCATCACACAAGGCCGGGCCGGGGTCCCGGGGTTCCGCAGTGAGGATCGCCTGCAAGCTCTCCGACAAGTCTTCCCAGGACAGGAACGTCTCGATTCTTGCCACCGCACACAAGTCGTGCAGGTCTTCCAGGAAATACTGCACGAGCCTCATAAGCTGGAACTCCTGCCGGGAGTTTTTAACAAGAAGAAACTTGTAGAGTGCAGCCTCCATCAAGCGTCCAGCCGACCCATTTTTTGTAATTCCAGTTTCCTCCACAGCCCTTTGGCGCCAACAGCATCATCCCATACTTGAGCACGTCGTTGCCAACCGCCCGGATGCCCTGCTTCGCACGTTTTTTATGGAATTTGTCATGCTGCGCATCCAAAACAGCAGTGCCTTGCCCATGCAACCGGATCAGAATCTCGGAGAGGTCGGCCACCAAATCATCCATCCGAATCCGGAGCTCGCACACGGACTGCAAAAGTGCCTTGACTTGCTGCTGCATCGGGCGGGTGATGCAGGCCCCATCCTGGTCACATTGCTTGCAACAATTGCGCCCATCCGGCAAGCATGCTGCTCGGGCTTTCAACTGAGCCGGCTGCCGCTGAGCCTTGTTCTGCATCTTCTGGCACACAGGGCACTCCATTCCGTCCGGAAAGGCCCTTCGCGAAACACAAAAATGTACTCCTGAAAACCGAAACAGCAATCGTTCCAGGTTTAAGAGTTTAAACATTATGGCTCCAGGCATGCGAACTGTTAGTGCACAGACATGCATGCATGCAATCCTTTTCACAAAGCCCTTGCACCCAGGTACCGACTCTCGTTTAAACTAATTCGAGCTTTCGCAGCCACTGATACTCTGTGTGCTTGCTTCGGTATGACAAAGAATCGGGAGCCAGATCTGGAAGTCGGAGCTCAATCGTGTACATCAGCACTTCCAAGTGGTCCCGCAAGGTGTCTTCCCTTAATTGGCTTGCTATGTGTGATATATATATATATGCATGCATGCAGACCTGCAAAAATGGAAAACATTGCCAATTGCAAGCCCAGGATCTGGAATTGATCGACGAAGCTTCGGACCCACATTGTAACCAAATAGCGAGCAAGCTTTCTGTCGGCACCACTTCTTCTGAGTTGTCGCTCGACAGACTTTGCTTGCTCTTGCAGCGAAGGCCGATCATTGCCAGTCAAAGGGAGCTCAAACTCAAGCATTCGACGGTCGTCGTCCATGGCAGTCGACATGTATGTGCAGATTCGAAGCAGTCTTAACACAAAGTTTGTGCTGCAAGGTCGTGGATTCTAAATAAAATCCGAATCTTGTGCACATGCCCGAGTACCTGAGCCCAAAACCTGGGGCCGATCATTGCCACTCAAAGGGAGCTCAAACTCAAGCATTCGACGGTCGTCGTCCATGGCAGACATGTATGTGCAGATTCGAAGCAGTCTTAACACAAAGTTTGTGCTGCAAGGTCGTGGATTCTAAATAAAATCCGAATCTTGTGCACATGACCTAGTACCTGAGCCCAAAACCTGGAGGGTTTTCAAGGTTTCGAAGCTACAACAAAACCCTCAGTCCCAGGACCCTGAATTTTTTGACTCTCGAAGGCGATGTGAGACACAGTGTTGCCATCGTGGCACAATCCGGAGCCATTTGTTTCAACTCCCATAACGGGCCAGAGCAAGTTTACACAAACCTGAGCATGATGCTCAACATTTCGCCACCGAACCGGGCAAGTCACATTTAGAACAACATTTCGCCACCGAACCGGGCAAGTCACATTTAGAAAAATAGAGACGATTTCTTGAATGGATCTAAAATTTAGAGACACTAGCTGGTGGATCTAATTTATAGATGCACCCGGGGGTCTGGGTGGTTGTGACGGACCTCTTGAGGCAAGTCGGGTCAATCTGGCTGAGGTCGCTTTTCCCCGTGGAAGCCGTTGCAACCGACGACATACGTCGTTTAGGTTCTCCTCACCCTCCTTCCCATTCCTGCTCTGGGCGCTACGCACCACCACTTGAGTCTTTCCAGGTTCGGTGGGCACTCTCGTAATGGGTGACCTTGGTCACGGTTTTGCCTTTTGGGCGGAGCCCTGACTTGCGCTGCTCTGGGTTCGACGCACAACAATTTGCTCCCTACGGTCTGCATCACTTGCCCGGCCGCCTGCGTGCTGTGACGGGCGACTTGTTGTCGCTGGACGCCGGCGTCCGCGCCGCCCTTGCGCCTTGCACTCCAGGAACGACTGGTTTTGTCCTTGGGTGTGGGTGTGCGTCGCCGGCAGGTTGTGAGTTGCTCTCCTGCGACTCTGGCCATCGCGCTCCTGTCTGGAAGCCGCTCACGCGTGCAGTGGGCTTTGGACTTTTGGATTTTGGTGTGCACGATCGCGACGGAACAAAACACAGGGGCTGTCCGTTGTCTGGCGAGACTAGAACGGCTGCCGGAGCCTGGTCTTGGCTCCACCTGTTGTTTTGGGCAGCTCAGAGCGACGGCTCTTTGTTGCTCCGAACCGGTCGCTGAGGCTCCGTAGTTGTGCTGAACGGCTACCACCGGCTAAGCCTGTGCACCGCAGCCCTTTGTAGAGCTTCGCTTCTTTGTCTCACCGCTTTGCCAGTTTGAAGTTTGTAGTTTGTAGTTTGTGTTAGCTTCGCTTGTTTGTAGGGACCGAGTGCTACAGCCGTAGTCGACGAGGCCCAGTCAAGCCAAAAAAAATGAATCCATCTAACATCCACAGCCGCCCCGAAAGCTCGCCCACAAGGAGGTGGAAGACATGGAGGTTGGAATTCCAACACTTACCACGACAACCAAGGGGAAGAGCAGAAACAAGGGGAAAGCCAAAGGAAAGGGCATCGAACCCAGAAGAAAATCTCAGGCCCTGGGAACTTGATCCTCCATCAGATCCTGCGGCTACATGGTTGCGGGACAACACGTGATCGGCAATGCCATCCAGCATGAAACCTCTGCGCTTCGCTCATGAATTTCATTGCAATGCCTCTTTCTTCGGTGACACCCACTTCGTAGGGGATTGTCACTGACGTAGATGAGTGTCACAATGTTTCTAATTGGGATGCAAGGCTCCGATTCCATATTTCAAACTTGCGGCGGACTAATCCCTAGTGTTCCTATCGCCCCATCTTCCGGGTGAGCAGCGTCGGAGACGCAACTCATGGGGGGTGCGAACGGACTGCGATGCCTAGTCCAATTCTATGGCGTCACAATAAGAGCTGTGAGCATGGCCATGTAAAGGTCAAGAGTGAAGGCACGCTACGCGTCCTTCATCTCTAGGTGTAGGCTTGTGGAAGTGCCACGCACGCCGCAATGCTGAACCATCTTACCATATTTCCGCCCATGCAACTTTGGCTCAAGAATGAGCAAAGCTCTAGCTAAACTAGCTATCGTCTTCTGTGACCTTTCCGAGGGACAGAGCCATCCCGAGCACAGACGATCCATCGCTGGCCGCGACGGTGCAAAACAAGCGAGCTCTGGATCTGCCTGCACGGGGAGTGAAGCTTACGTGTGGAAGTAAGAGAGAGAGACAGTGATTGCGTTTGTAGAGGGCAACCACATCAGTACTCAATACAGCTCTGTGGGGTGAACGACAAGGAACATCATCAAGATCAAATCCCCACGCACAAACATCGCTGATTTTAAAGAAGAAACTTTTCTGCCTGCAGACTTTTCTTCCTTTTCTTTCTTTGAAATCGGCGACAGGCTTCAGGCCGTGTTTGACATTGTCCACGCCTCTTTTGCGATGTACTTTTGAACGATTTATCTTTTACCCCTTTTTGGTGTTTTTTTCTAGAATAGTACTTCGCATGCTTTGTAGAGTTTTGACGCATGTCCATTGCATCTTCATGATGAGAACGTCTGTGTTTGTGACGAAGTGACTGCTCGAGCTGTGCTTTTAAAACTTTTCCCCGCCCGCCCGACCCTGACATCTGTGGTGGGGGGTGTGTTCGGGACAAACTCTGAGCGGCTTCAAGCCCGTGCTCTGTGCATCGGCTGCGGCCCGGATGCCATGGTTCCCGAATTCCGAATTCGTTCAAACCCCTGATCGCTGAAAAGAAAACGAAGAGCGCGCGACCTTCTGTGCTGCCAAGTTTATTTTCGCCAGAAATACCATTGAGCCTCGAGCTCGACTCTTTCTATAGAGTCGCCTATTCATATTGAGCTGGATTCATTTGAATATATTGGACTGCGAAATTTTTAAATATCCTTTTCGGGTACATCACTGCGATAATACTTTTGTACAGGATCATGTAAGTGCATCTCTCAAACATCGCTGATTTTAAAGAAGATGCAAGGCTGGTCCGAGGACATCTCCAAGGTCACCGACTTCGCCGACCTGCCTAGCAATCCAAAGAAGTACGTCTTGAGGACTGCCCACCCGAAGCACGCGCGGGCCTGCAGACACCCAAACACCCAAGATGCACTCTGGCAGGATCCAGGAGCTTCTCAAGATTCCTGTTTCTTGGGTGGGAGCGGCCTGACGGCAAGAATCTCGTGGCCAACAGCGAATCAGAGCGCGCATGGTCTGCAGAGCCACTGATAGTGCTTGCATGATCAACTTGAGTTGCTCGTCGTATGTGTCGCTTGTTGAGCACTTTGGGCTCTTGGATCACCTTCCAACAGTTTACTGCTAGCACGGAGCACGAACACCTCGTGCAAGATTTCCGATGCCTTTCCACATGTGGAAACTTGGCTGTGCATGTGCCGGGTGGGCCGCGTGGGTAATAACCCTGGCCATGGCAGACAAGTATGACAAGTGCGTCTCGACAGCTTCCGGTGCTTGGGGCAGTGGCGACCAAGATGCCTGCGAAGCTGAGAAGCCCCCGCAGAGTAGCGGTTTGCTGCAAAAACACACGCAGCAGTCGGCGGGCGAGTTCCTCATCGATGATGGAGTCCATGAGGAGTTGAAGGACTTCCTCGTGGAGCTTGCAGGATGCTTGAACGAGTCGATGACGCTTGCGAACCAGAGCGGGGACACTGAGCGGGCCAAGCAGCTCGAGACCATCTTAGTGTATGAGCTCACTGCGAAACAAGCCTCCCTTGGAACGCCAGTTGATCCCGTGCTCCTCGATGCCATGAAGGATGGTGCTGCTTCAGCGGCTCTGGCCATAGTGAGCAAGGACGGGCTTTGGCAATCGATTCATGACTCAATGACATGTTCCGAGCACAGACTCCGAGAGTCTGAGAGTTCGAGTATGCGTATTGACGATGCGCAATACCAAAAATCATCCAAACTCCGAAATGGAACATGAGGCTTGCTTAGTCTTCCAGTCGAGACCGCTGCCAGAAAGACCAGTGTGCTCTTATATGCTTGCACGATCTTGTAGATAACGTGCGTAGAAGGCATTGCATGGGCCCTGAAGGACTTTTGGGAGATCTTGATGGCCACCATAAGCCGCAGGGACCTCACCGATGCCGTCATCAACGAGTTTACCACGGTCTTGGAGAACATGGCCACAGCCTGCGGCGATGGAGACGAGGCAGTTGAGATCGCTGGGGACGAGAAGCAATTGCTCACGCCAACAAATGGCGGCAACATCTCAGAGACGGCTTCCAAAGTTGCCATTGAAATTCCCATGGTAGCATGGGAGCTGTGTCAGTCCGAGGTGATGGAAGTGGACTTTTTTGCAAAGCATGGTGCATTGCTGACCCATACAGCAGAGTGCACGCCTCAGGTGTCTGCAGCCCTAAGCCAAAAGAGCCAGCATCTTCGAGAGGATATGAACTATCGTATGAAGCAGCTCTTGGTCTTGCACTCCGACGAGAACCAACTGGGCCATCAGCTGACGCAGCACATGAAGCAGCACGGAGTGTTTGGGCACCTTGCGTCCCCAGCGGAGGACCTGCGGCGGGGCATCCGCGGCGCCGCCGTTGCCGAGCTGTCGCCCAAGAAGCGTGCGCAGTTGGAGTATTTGCAGACCAAGAAGTGGCAGACGACCCACGGGCTGTCCAGGCTGGAGCAGTGCGAAAAAATGACCAATGTGCCGGACTACAAGCACTGCTTCTGTGTGGAGGAGCAGCCCGAGTTGGTCTGCGAGGCAAAGCATGCAGCTGAGTTGCAGCATGCTTATGCGGGAGCTTCCCAGAAGCTGCAGCATGCTCAAGAGCAGCTCCTGCAAAGGAAGCGGACCCAGCTCCATGCCAATGAAAGCAAGATCCTGCCAGGTCCTTGCGCTCCGCCCTTGTCATGCTCGATGTGCAGCGGAGGCGTTTGCCTTTCAGCCAGCGCCGACGTGGCTGACACTTTCAAGAGCATTCAAACGAAACTCGTGAAAAGTTCCAGCTCGACATGCTTCTCTGGCAGCTGTTCCATTTCCTTTGGCTGGCCCAAGGGCACTTGCGAACTCACCTTCACGCTAACGTTGGGTGCCACCATCACGAACTGCCAAAACGCTGGCAATGTCTTGTCGAGCTTCCACATACACTTCAGTGCCAGTATGTGCCTGGGGGGTGCTGCAGGTGCGGCGGTCGCGCAATTTGGCCAGGCCATTGGCTGGAATGGCTGCCATACAATTCTCAGCATCAAGTATTACCCCTTCATCGGCAAGATTTCAGCAAGCGGTGGCATTCCGGTCTGGTTCCCAAACATGCGGGCAGAACTGGCCATAACAGTGCCAGTCCACGATCTCACGGCGCCAGTGTGGTCTTGGATCAACAGGGCCATCACACAGGAGGAGCGCAATGCCAAGTCGATGACTTGCGTCCTTATCAATGACATTTGCTTCGGCTCGATGAGGAGCTGGTTTGCTTTCTGCACACTGGAGGCTATGGTAAATTGCCAAGCCCAGCTCATAGAAGTAGACGCAGCAATTCGGGCAGAAAGGCATGGGGCCATGCTTACCGCTCGAGGCTATGCGGACATTGACCTCAACGCCCAGACGCTTGTCCCGTGGCACGGGTGGTTCACGTTCCACAATCTTGACCTGGTCTGAAGATCTCAGTGCGTAGAAGCACCGAGAAGTCCTGGCCGGGTCATGGCAACATAGAACAGACGCACTTGTAACTACTTGTATCAGCTTGGAAAAGACAGGCTACGCTTTCGTGAGCTAGTTTTCGACGCTGCACCTTGCGATGTATGCTTGCTTGAAGTGCTGTATGACAGCACCAGCATAGGTCATCTACTCGTTAGACGTCAGAAGACTTCGTTGGCATCCCGTCTTGTTGAAACATTTGACTTTGCCCGTGACGGGCTCGTTGAGGTCGGCCCCGACCGCTCCAGCATGCTGAAGGCACCCGCGATGTTTTACAATAGTTTTTACAACGTGATGTCGAGGTTGGGTTTCTTGGCCGTAGGTGTTAACTTGAGAAAGCTCTCACTGATTAAGTCGCGGGCAGAGAGCCTGAGTGACAAAAGGCAACACGCAGCCTCAGGCAGCAGGAAAAGGGTTGCGGACTTTTCATGTTAAGTTCGAAGTCCTGTCAAGCTTTGCACAGGTGGACATCCCTATCGTTCGACCAGATGGATCCATTTCAGCGCCTAGATATTATGTAAACCTATGTGTCGAGTCAAGAGTACTTGAGCTAGCTAGGCGACTTCGGGCGTGCCCTGTGCCTTCATTGCGTGGTGCTGCGTTTTGGTCATTGGCTGAGGCTTCGCCGAATTTTCCATCCAGCCCTATCCGTTGCTTGGAAATGCAAGCAAATCTCTGGTGGACAGCTTAAGGTACATCGTCGACTGAAATCTAAGGAGGGAGCCCCCGCATCTAGGCGCGCCTGAGACAGCTTTTGACTCCACTGAACGGATTTACTCCAGACCGGCTTGTGCAAACAAGTCTGGTGGGTTCCGAGCCCGTAGATGGAAAGCGACGCTCTTGGCTATGAAGCCCGCTTGCAAAGTGGGGGCGCATGACTTTAAGCATTTACCTAGACGCCTGACGGCACCTGCTCGTCACGCATTCTCCTGGGCGGGTGATGAGTGTCAGGGCGTGTTCACGATCCGGTTGTACGGCCGGCGCCATACTCGCAACTTCTGAGTAAGGTCGTGTCTGTGCATCCGTGCTTCTGTCTGCGCTGGTGTGATCGCTGCATGCTGCATGCTTCAGGCAATGTGCAAGCAACAGATCCCGTTCCAGAAAGTGCTGGATGTGTACAAGGCCGAGATCGCTCAGAACATAGGAGACATCCTTGTTGCAAAAAGGGTCACAGGGCCAAAGACTTGATCTTGACAGCCTGCCGTGCATGCAGCTGCCCGAGGGGTAAAACAGAATGGACAGGGGTCACCACAGTGCACGGTAACTGTCCAGAGTAAGATTTATTCCTGATTGCTTCGTCCTGTGGACAGAACGGGTTTGTTAGGACAGCTTGCCTGCCAGCTTTCGAACATGAATCCCCTGAGCTGTTTGGGTCAGCAGATGACACGAGCATTCACAAGTGCTGGAAGTTGTTTGACTTAGGATTTGTCAGAAACGCAAGAAGTTTACAAATCCCGGTTTGAGCAAAACTTCACGAATGTATGATTTCATGCGGTCTGCACACCTATTGAGACACTGCCCTGTGCTGCCGCTCACATGGAGCGAACCAAGGTCGGGCTTCTTTGGCAGATATTGTTTATCATAGCTGTTCGGAGTAACTTTCATGAGAATGCGCTCCGCCGTCACCAGGAACCATGGCTGGATCCAACTGCGTGCAGTGAGCGAAGGCTGGGTTAGACGTGAATGCAGCAGATGCGAGAGCAGCTGTACTTACACATCTGACAAGGGTATAAATTGACATACATGCATGATTTCGTACACAGGCACACTTATCTGTGTACCGGCAAGCCAGACAAGTCTTCAGCATTGAGTTGCAGCGTGGTGAGATGTATTCTAAAGCAACTGATGGTGCAGTCCGAGAGTTGTGTATATTTCCTGTGCATGAATTTTGTTTCGGCTTTTTTTTGCCCGTGTCTCAGCCATGCTGTAGCAGTGCAACAGCAGCGATCCAATGAGGAGGCTCTGCACAGATCAGTGAACACCGATGCGTTACCTGTGATGGTGGGTCTGGTATCCGCGTTAACTTGTTGGTTGCAGAACGTGTTGTCATGACTGGGCATGCAGACATGTCGAACAATTATGACTTTCGGGTTGTAGCAGATCTTTGTCGAAGTACCGGCAAACATTGCGGCACAAAACGGACGGACCGAGTCGTGGCAGGTTGAGCTCATTGGACTTGGATGCATGGCGGCAGGACCCACTCAGTGTGTGTGTGTGTGTGCGCGCGCTGAGCTAGCCCTTCACCGCTGCTACAAGCATCGTCTGTGCAAGCCACACCAGGACATACAGCGCCTCCACGTCACAATCGATGAGGTTCGCGGCGGCTGTTCAATGCGCCCTGCACGCCAACTTTCGAGCAGGTATAAACATGAAGCCGAAATACCCAGCCCGGGGATATCTTGGGATCCGCCTTGCGCAGAGAAAGCTATTCCGTGTCATGAGTCTTCTTAGAGCCATCAGCCGCAGGTCGTGCAGACCTTCATCTCCTCGCAAACATGCCAGCCGCTTTCTATAATTGGCATTGATGCAAGTATTCTTCATCGGACGGTTTGGGCAATGTTTGGGCTTCTTTCATCTTCGATATTCTGGCCGGCCATAGCAGGTTGTAGCTGTTACTAGTACTACAGTCTTCATACCAGTTCTAGATCCATTACTAACGAGAACAAGTACCAGTGCTGCCAAAAAGAATTCTGCTACTGCGAGTGCTTGCAAGTAATCGTGCAGCTAGCATCACAGCAACAGTAGCAACAGCAACAGCAACCGCTCGTAGTAGTAGTCGTAGTAGTAGTAGCAGCAGCAGAAGAAGAAGTAGTAGTAGTAGTAGTCGTACTAGTAGCAGTAGCAGTAGTAGTAGTAGTAGAAGAAGTAGTAGTAGTAGCAGTAGTAGCAGTAGAAGCAGGAGTAGTAGTAGTAGTAGTAGTACTGCTACTACGACGACGACTACTACTAGTGCTACCACGACCACGACGACCACTACCACTACCCCTACCCCTACCCCTACCCCTACCCCTACCCCTACCCCTACCCCTACCCCTACCCCTACCCCTACCACTACCACGACCACGACCACGACCACGACCACGACCACGACCACGACCACGACCACGACCACGACCACGACCACGACCACGACCACGACCACGACCACGACCACGACCACGACCACGACCACGACCACGACCACGACCAC